GCGTGTGGTAGATACAACACAACTCTACCATTACCTCCAACTAATCCACGCGCCAGTCACCGTGCCTGCAACATCGTCCTGTAGAACACACGATGAGTCTGGTGTGCTGGTGGAGGTGTCGTAGATGTCATTAAGAGCTTGACGAACAAAGAATAACAAGTTTTAAAGGATAATTCCTTACAGAGGTGGAAGTTCATATAGCTTTAATCGATTTCGAGGAATGTGGCTAAGAACCTAGTATGATAGATGGCATTTCAAACTCCAGGCCAAACTTTGCCCGATGACTGTAATTATTCGTGTTGTCGCAATAATTCTGTTTTGTTTTTGTAGGCCCTGCGTTTCGCTCCCCAAGTTAATTTTGTTCTCCCACTCAGCAAGAGTTCCCAACTCTCCGCCTGTAATGCGAAGATCACAGAGTTTCCTAGTTATGAATTGCCTATAACTTTTTGGGTCGTATTCCTTGTGGACCTGTTGTTACATTTTTTACTCTGTGTAGAATGACTACCTCGGCTTTTCGGATCCTTCCTCGGACGCCGATCACCCCGGCTGGCCACTACGCAACCTCTTATTCGCGGTTTCTAGCACTCTGTGAGTTGCTCCCTTCCGTTTAATGTTCCGACCTGAAAAGATCCTGTGCAAAAGTACTTATATTGTCGGAACCTAATTTAAAAAGGTCCTGATATACAGGATCCAAACTGTGTCCCTCCTCTCTGTGACTGAACGCCTGCTTCATCAACTCCCAGGCCCCTTCTCAAGCTGTTGTTATCCTTTTTCAGCTATGTCTCTTCATGCTTAGAGAGGGCTGGCTTCGTACAACAGAAGGAGTAATGAGTATTTTAGATCCATCGTTGTGAAGGTAGTATCGCCCAGCACATTCGTTCTCTATTAGATTATCATGATACAACTTCTAACAACTCATAAAATATTCCCGATTATGGCAACCCGCGTCTTATTTCCTCTCCCCACCTCCCTACCTCGCCTTTTTGCACGCAAACCCTAGCAGTGTGAAGGACAGGGAGAAGGGAGAAAATCCTTTATTATCAGATGAAGAAAAGTGTTAATCGTTATTCCTTCAATACCATCTCCAAAGGGGAGGTGGAATATTCCTTGAACTATATACCTAACACAAACACTAATTTCTTGTATGCTTTTTTCTGCAAGCATGCATTAGTTTCTTTCTCGCTTCTTTCCACAGAACCTCCTCGTCTCCAAAGGCTGTTAAGGTGCTATGCTTTCGTGATCGCTACGCGCATGGTGAGCGCATATGTTCGCATAGTTTCGTGCTACGCATTCAGTTACTACAGAAGCCGTCTCCATCAGGTGAGTTTGCCTCTCCTGGAATTCAGACCTTACCAGAAAAGTATATGATTTTGCTATTACATACCTCCCCACCCGCATTTCTTCTGTTTGTCTCCAGAAACCAAATTTGTTGGCTGGGAAAAGTGGCAAGGAAAGTTGCAGCCACGAAGGGTCAACTTGAGTTCCACCATGGATCCTGTCAAGTACGTTTTTAATCTCTTTTTCACAGTACCTAATAAAACTTTGTGTTTACAGTCATGGCAACTTGATATGCGTGCAAATAGAGAACCTCGGTCTCATTAACATGTGTTCTTGCTCTTCGAATTACGCAATGCGCCGTAAGGCCGTGAGTACTTGTGATACTGTGTGTTCTCAGACTGGCCTAGTAAGTATGATTACTAGAAATAGCACTCTTAGCATAGGCCCATTCCTTCTAGTAACAGCCTCCTAGTCCCCGTAGTCCAAACTTAGTAGGAACCGACACAGCCTGGTGGATAGAATTGAGAGGGTGGAAACCAAAGCAAGCCCTGATGTGCTCCGGGCCTCAGACATGTATTTACTCGGCATAGGATAATCCCAGAGTCGCGCTACTTTTTGAGATCGACGGGATATGAGCCCCAGCGTTGACTTTGATCAGCGTCACCTCTGATTAATATTAGCGTCGGTTATCGTACCAGTACTACTAAAACTTAACTATATTGCTAGTTAGTAGTAGGAGAAAGAGTAGTAGCAGTATCAGTCTCGGTCTCCTTCAGTCTGTCTTGACACCTACTGAAGATGAGGGAGGGTAGGTAGTGCGGTAGGACCAGCGCAAAGTCTACTGTCACTTAAGTTAGGCGGTGTTCTGGCCTACATTGGAGAAAGTGGTCAACGCTGGATCCTGTTTTCGTCTTCTTGACCTTAGGCAAATGTGAAAGTGCGGTTGACATTTGCACTTAAGTATGCCCCCGGTTTTCTAGTCACCCTCCTTGCACCAACCTGTTTGGTGTATGTGGTTGACTTATCGAAATTGATGGTCGAACAAGCCGACTGACCTATTAGTCTGAACTGCTGTTCTCTGATTGCCATGTGGAAAGTTGGCATTTAGCACTGCATAGGTTGACAAAAGCAACAATCTGGGAATCGAAATTTGAAAACATAGCATTGCTCAAAGGAACCGATTTTGTTTCTTGCTGACGTTTCGGAGAGCTAGGCCGGCTCTCCTTTTTCAAAGCATCGATTATCACTATCGATCAGCGAGTTCGGCTGAACTTTTCGGCTTTGGGCTGATTAATTGTTTCCCTCGTTGACGACCGCTGGTGTTAGGCTTTGTCCCCACGGCCGTAAAACTATGCCAACATCCTTACGATGAACGAGGCAGCGAACTAGGGAATAAGTCGATCATCTCAAGGCCGACAAGTTTATTCAAACATTCAAATCGCTGATCGATATCGGCAGTCGACGCTTTGACAAAGAAGAACCGGTCAAGGTCTACGAAATGTCAGCAAAAAACCCGTTCCTGTGTTCTTACAGAAGTCATCGTAACTGAAATAGGCAAAGATCTGTTTATGAGCTGCACTTTAAAAGATTTCCGATCGATAGTGTGAAAGCTCACATGTACGCCAACCGGGGTGTCGACGAAGGCTTCTCGTTCCCAAGCAGCACGCCTTCACGTTGGTGGAACCGACTGTACCCATCTCC